GGCAGTTTTATTTTCTTTTAGCACTTTAAATGTATCATTCCATTGCCTTTTGGACTCCAGTGTTGTTGAGGAAAAATTGGCATTTAATCTTATTGAGGATCCTTTGTATGTGATTGTGTCTCTCTCATTGCTTTTGGGATTCTCTCCTTAACTTTAATTTTTGAGAACTTAACTATAATGTGTCTTGGTGCAAATCTCTTTTGAAGTTCTTTGACTTTCTTGGGTTTTCAGATTCATGTACTTTTATGACTGAGGAAATTTCTGTCATTATTCCTTGAAATATTCTTTCTATTCATTTCTCTCTCTCATCTTCTGCGATTCCCATGATGCACATATTTTGACTTCTGTTGTCCCATAATTCCATTAAACTGTGCTCAGCCTTCTTGGGTGTCCATTTTGTTGCTCTTCAGCATCTGTAATTTTAACCATTTTAACCTCTAATTTGCTGATTCTTTTTTATGCCTGTGTAAATTGGTTGGTAAGTCCTTCTATTGTGTTTTTCACTTCTCAGTTGCAAACTCTCTCTTTTTAGATTCTTATTTTGTTCATGCATTGTTTTCCTTATTTCTTTTAGCTCTTTGTCTGTTTTTCCTTAGTTCTTAATTATGTTTAATGCTGTTGCATTTTATTCTTCCATTTGTTTAATTATTTGGTTATCCCTAGGTGTGCTTTCACTCATTTTGTCATGTTCATTTGGATGGGGCATTGTTTCTCTGTTTTTGTGTGTCTTGTGATTTCTTTTTTTTTTTTTTTTTTTAGTTGGGGTATTGGAATATTTGAGGGTGTTAAGTTTGCCAGTTTCGTTCTGCTTTTGCCCAACCTCCTACTCTTAGGAGGGCAGAACTTTCAGCATTTGCTTACCGTTTCCTCTCCCTCTCTGTGATAGCTCCTTTTCCCTTCCTGGTTTAATTAGGATTCAGAAGGTCCAGATCTCATTTTCCAACTTTCATTCTCTCCCAAACAACCAGTAAACACACTGTGGTCAGTCTGTCCACCAGTGGGCACTGCCACTCAAACAAGATGCTACCTACTAATGAATCTGTCCACCAGGGGGGCACAGTACTTTCTCTCTGGTTATTATTATTCCTTTCTCTTCTCTGTTTCTGCAATCATCTTTTTAGTCAGAAAACCCACACCCAACAAGCCCCCTTCAAGCTTGGGTGTTACCTTCCAGTTTTACCTGAGGTTTCCTTTTTTACCCTGTGGGTTCTGCTTATGTTTGAGCTAACGTTTAGGAGAAGCACAGGCAGATTTTCCTCCACTTCAGAAGGACCTCTGAGAGATCTGTCTTGTTAGTTTCAGAGCCCCAGTGGTCCTGTGGTGGTTGGTGAAGCAGTCTCTACTTAGGTGACCTACCTCCTGACTCCACTGTAGGGAACTTTCTGTAGGAGTTCAAATTGGTCAGAAGCCAACAGTTACTGGTTGGAGGAGGAGTAGTCACACTATGAACAGACCCCCAGGGATGTCTGTCTTATTACTATAATATATTTTGGCTATGGATGTTGCCTCCACTCAAGATACCTGTTTCCTAACACATAACAGGCTCAGTCAGTAGTCCCAGCACAGACTATTAAGGGGTAGGAGAGAGACCCAAACTGTCCTGTTGGTTTCAGAGGCCTGAGCTATGGGGTGCTCAAGGAGGCAGGTAGAGTGTTTACTATGGGAGCAGACTCCATGTGGGAGCCTTCTGTAGCAGTTTGTAACAGCCTGGCAACCAACAATTACCAGGCAGAGGAGGAGGTGTCATGCTCTGGTCACATGCCCATGGAGGTCTGCTTTGTTGCTCAGAGTTCCCCTGGTAGATTGTTGGCTGTGAGTGTAGCTTCCACTAAAGACTCCTGCTTCCTAACACATAGCACCCTCAGTCAGCAGTTCTCAGTGCCAAGGAAGTGGGGGCAGACTAACCCTAAAAGACCCCCAGGGAAATTTATCCTATTTGTTTCAGAGCTATGGGCATACACAAGAGGAAGTAGAGTGCTGACCAAGGGAACAGACTCCTCCTCAGTGTCGTTTGGTAGCAATTCACAACAGGCTTGAACGTGAGAGTGTCCAAGCGGGACAGGGGTTGTCATGTCCCAATGAACCTCCAGGGAGGTCTGCCTTGTTGCTGTCAGAGCTCTTCCTGTAGTATGTTGGTTGTGGGTGTAGGCTCCATCAAAGATGCCAGCTTCTTAACACAGCAACCTGTCAGCAGTCCTCAGCACCAACTTAAAGGGGAAGCAGACTCAAACTGACTCCCCAGGAGGTCTGTCCTGTTAGCTATGGAGGCAGGGAAGTCAATAGAATGCTTACTATGGGAATAGACTCCACAGCAAGGGCCTTTTGTAGCAATTCCCAGTAGGCTTGGTGGGAGATGTGCTGGCACACTGCAAACGGACCCCCAGGAAGGTCTGCCTTGTTGATTTTAGAGCAGAAGCTTCGGTTCCTGTCTCTTTGTACAGTCAGGGACTGTGGTGGTTAGGGAAAGCAGGCTCTTTTTCTGGGGCCACCTCCCCAGTTCATAGCTGCTGGCAGCCTGTGTGGTTAGGGGAAGGGACAGGGATAGGAGGAGAAGCCGTATGAAACTAACTCATTGCTGAATCTTGATTATTGCCTGTCTGCGGTTCCCTGCTGCTTTCCTCTGCTCCCTATTCAATGTCCCTCAAGCCAAGCCTTCCTTCTTGTATTTGAGGGGGAGGGGCAGAATGATGGTCTGCTTACACTGACATCCTCCAAGAATCCCTCATAATAATGTCTTTTAACCATTACACTACATTACCAGATTTTAAAAATTGCTACAACTGCAAATGAAAAGTGTAAGTAAATTTTAGAAGGACTGAATAATTTTCTTGGCACAGAAGTTTTAATGGAAGTAAAATAGGAAAATTCGGATTCAAGATGGAGTACTAAGCACATATTACTACCTCAATTTTTCATCAAAAAAGATAGAAAGAGACTTCAAAAATCTTTACCTATTCTGGGAACTAGGAAGAAAGACTCAATTGGGCCAGAAATTATGAGGAATCTCCTAAAAGAAAGATGGAAGACCAATGAGAATAGATCAAGGAAGAAAACAATGGCTCCAAACACATGTAGATGAGGGTTCTATAAAAGACTGAAGGCACTTCCAAGAATGCTACAAGCCTGGAGGAAGTTGATATCTGGAGCAAGACAGCATAACAGGATAGCCCATAGGAGGACAAGCCAGGCAGGTTGATGCCTCACTATTTCCCCCACTAAGTTCTGAGGCAGACAGTTTGTAACAGGGATTTCTGTATGTATGTGGTAGTTAAAAAATAGTGACTGCAAGGTGGAAAAGCAGAGCAGGGCCCTGTGTGCCTGGCAACACCTAAGATGAATGGGGAGCATGTACTGCCCAGCGGTGCTTTTTGTACCTGTCACAAACAAGCTTGAATAAACAGGTAATGGAATTTACAGACTTAATACCATAAAGCAAAACCAAACCAAACTCATTGGCATCAAGTAGAATCCAACTCATAGTGACTCCTCCCCTCCTTGGGTTTTCCAGGCGGTATCACCATGGAAGTAGATTGCCCAACCTTCCTTCCGAGGAGTGGCTGGTGGGTTTGAACTGCCAGTCTTCTGGTTAATAGTCTAATGCCTTAGGCACTATGCCACCATAGCTACTACTTGCTACCATGGAATCTTAAATATAAGGATGTGCACATAGCCAAGATATAGCAAAAATTTAATGAATGCCAACTTAAGAAAGAGAGGTGTCAAGTTCAATAAAGAAAGGACACCCAAGGGAACAGAAGCAATAGTGAAAGCAAAACAGAACTTTAGACTAAGGTTACATGTTAGATGATATTGTATCCATAAAATAATGAATGGATTAGACATTTCTGAAAGTAAAATCTTGGCTGTTCAGTATGGCAAAAGTCAATTGTATTCTTCTATGCTAGCAAAAAGCAATTAGAAAATGTAATTTTAAGAAAGTGCTTTGTATACATTATATGCCATTAACAATAGCAACAAAATATTATCAAGTACTTAGGTATAAATCTAACAAAAGATGTTTCAGGTCTGTATGCAACAAAATTGTAAAATTTACCAAAAGACCTTGAATAAAATCTAAATAAATAGAGAGATACCACATGTTGGTAGATAGAAAAACAATATTATAAACCTATCAGTTTTTTTTCCCCTCAATTTGATCTGCATGTTAAAGTGATACACATGTAATTTAATTAAGATCTTTCATCAAACTTGACAGGCTGATTCTAAGATGTATTAGAAGGAGTAAAGGACCAAGACTGGCCAAGAACCTTCTGAAGGGTAACTTGCCCTACTGGTTTTCAGGACTAATTATGAAGCTATATTAATTACAGCAATATGATATTGGCACAGGAAAGGCAAATTGATCGATGGAATAGAACAAAGAGGCCAGAGGGATCTTCACTTATTTGAAATGTTGATACACAGCAAAAGTGGCATGTCAAATAAGCTTGGAAAGAAGAGACTGCAAAATAAAATGAGGTAATAAAAAAAAAGTGGTTATCCCTATGGAAATAGAAGGAAAATCACACAAACACATCAGATTATATATGTTAAGGATTTAAATACCAAAAGCAAACTTTCAAAAGTCTAGTAGCATATTTAGATAAATAAACTGACATTGAAATGGGGAAGAGTTTCTTAAACAAGACTAAAGAGAGCCTTAAGTATAAAAAATACATAAATTTTGCTGTATAAAGATGAAAACGCTCTTTTTCAGAAGTTCCCTAATGAAGGTGATAAGACAAGCTAAAAATTGGGAGACGATAATTATAACACATATATAAGTGACAAAGGAATAATATGTACATATATATTATTGTTAGTTCTCTTGCACTTAAAAAAAATATGATCAGGTACTTTGGTTCTTTAAGGGACTGTCTGTAAGCTGCTGGAACTCCTCACTTCAATCTCTACATTTTATATTTTGGACTTTCTTAGAACAGATGAGGTATCAAGTGAAAATAAGCTTCTATAAAACACAGAAAGAAAATAATTCTTACCTGTGTGGAGTTTTGGAAAACCATAAAAATGATCCAGGAGGCTAATATAAACAATAGTACCAACAGTGGCTTAGAATTTGTCATACTTATTTTCATAATTAGCATCCTATAAGAGACAACACACAAACACATAAGCATACAACAAAAACAAACATAGAAAACACAGAAACATGAATATTTTATGTTCCTTGATTGTTTTTATCCTCAGGTGAGTGATCCCCAGAACAGAATCTTAGCTCTTTCAGCTGTCATCGTTGGGCTATCAGTTTGTGCATTCTACACACAGCCTCTTCTCTACAGAAGAGGGAGTCTGAGACATAGAGCCCACCATGGTCTCTAAGGAATGAAACAGTTAAGTACCTGAAGAAAGCAGTGTTATTCTGGTGTAGGTCAAGCCTCCAGGCTATGTATCACCTGGCAGTTTTCTTACTCTTCTCCCTCAACAAATATTGACACCCAAAACCATATTATTGCAGTACCCTTTTAACGTAACTTGGTTTTCCATCTTACTTATTTCAAGTCTGCTGATGTGGATACAAACACATGCAATGCTATTCTCTCCCATTCTCTCTACCTTGTTCCCTTTTCTTGCCTTACCAGACCTTCTAGCACCTCTCAATCATGAAAATAATTATTTTAAAACTTCTGTTTCTTTCTTTATAAAATTCCCAGACTTTATCAATGCTTTTTTCTGGTTACAACTTAAGTTTTGTCCTGGAATTTTAAGTTATCTTTAAAGAAATCTGACTGTTTGAATGCTGCCTTTCTAATATCTTCTATTCTGAATCCCCAATTTATACATAGGCGTCAGAAGTCTGTGTACCCAAGAATAAATGTTACCCCTTCCCCTCACCTGCCCAATTTTGCAGTTCTTCATACCTTTCATTTACAACCTTGTTCAATCCCATGCATAAGCACTACGATAGGCTGGATGTTAAAATTTTGTTTTAAAGCTACCAGTGTGATACTGGGTTTCCTCTTCTCAGAACTAAAACAAATCATAGGCACAAGTTGCAATCTAGGTATTTTTAGCTTGGATTCACAGCTTTATTTCTGGTGAGGTGAAAGATATCAGATCAGGCATACCAGCTCCACCTTAAGGAAGTGCCTGGATTACAAGCTACAGTTATCAGTTCAAGGAGAGGTGGGAAGAAGTGAAATGCTCTCCACAAAATCCTTCAACTCTGTGCCTTGCTCAGTCTACTTGTTGTTATGTGCCGTCGAGTCAGACTCAACTCATAGTGACCCCTCCTTGGATTTCCAAGGCAGTATCATTACAGAAGTAGATTGCCCAACCTTCCTTCTGAGGAGTGGCTGGTGAGTTTGAATTGCCAGGCTTCTGGTTAACAGTCTAATGCCTTAGGCGCTATGCTACCAGAGCTCCTACTTATAGCAACTGTAAATACATACTTGAAAATAAAAAAGAGTGAATGAAGCTGCAAGTTTGAATGATTATAAGCTGTCATCCGTGAGGAGTTGAACTGCCTTGTTTCCATCATAGCCTTGTCATCATAACTCAGTTGCTAAGATTCAAGTTCATAGTACCTTGTACATAGCAAGTACTCAATAAAATGTGCTTCATTGAACTGAAAAAACATAAAATGTAGTGCAGGCAGGAATGATACTGATGAAATATCAGACCAACAGAGTGATAGTTTAGTTACAGGTTTGAATCCACCTGTCGTTTTCATTCCTGATCTGACAGAAAAGGGATCCAGAGAGATGCACCAGTGTCTGAAGGAGGCAGCCCCTGATTGCATTGAGACTTCCTTCATGGGCTTCATTTGTGTCGCCTCACACAGGAAGCTAAACATAGGTGAAAATGTCCACTTACCCTTCCAGTCTTATAAAAAACAAAATAACAAGATTCAAGATTTCTTTCACTTAAGGCTTTTCTGATTTTGATAACCCTTCTGACATCCTTGATCATGATCTACTGAACCAACCTTAATAATACTTCTTTGTATCTTTCCATCATGCCCATTGAAAATGCTGTTTTAACCTTCTATGACTATATCCAGGGTTGCTCAGTTCTGCAAGAGGTTGTTGTTGTTGTTGTTATGTGCCGTCGAGTCGGACCCGACTCATAGCGACCCCTCCTTGGGTTTCCAAGGCAGTATCACTATGGAAGTAGATTGCCCCCATCTTCCTTCTGAGGAGTGGCTGGTGGGTTTGAACCGCCAGCCTTCTGGTTAGCAGTCAAATGCCTTAGCCACTATGCTACCAGAGCTCCCTCTGCAAGAGGAGCTGTAGTGAATTTGAGGGAATTTAGGGCTCATCAAGGGAAAAGATATGACCATGAGACAGTAGATAGTGTTGTCCAAGAAGCTGTTTCCTGAGGTCAATGCATTGACAACTGTATGCAGAGGACAGTCCCCCACGGCAGGTTGGCTGGAGGACATCATTGCCATCAAGTCAATTCCAACTCATAGTGATCCTATGGGACAGAGTAGAATTATCCCATAGGGTTTCCAAGGCTGTGAATCTTTATGGAGCCAAACTGCCTCATTTTTCTCCTATGGAGCAGCTGTGTTTGGACTGCCAAGCTTTTGTTAGCAGCCAAATGCTTTAACCACTATGCCACCAGAGTTCCTTCCGGAAGGGGAAGAAGGCATGAAAAACCCTGGGAAGAGGAGAAGGGAGGATGGAAGCTGAAGTGCACCTTAGGTGAGATTCTTCTGCAAAAAAGTGGGGAGTCTGTGGGTCAGAGAACACTGAAGGCAACAGTACTTTTAAGGTCCTTTTAACTGCAGGGTTTTATCTTATCTGTGGTTACAGTCTGCAGTATGGAGACCTCAACACAGAGAAATAGAAAATCCTTGTAACTAGACGAATAAGCACAAATGCCCACACTGCCATTGAGTCAGACCTGACTCATAGTGACCCCTCCTTGGGTTTCTGAGGCAGTATCACTACAGAAGTAGATTGCCCAACCTTCCTTCTGAGGAGGACCAATAAGCAGCATCATGATAAATGGAGAAAAGATTGAAGTTGTCAAAGATTTCATATTATGTGATTCCACAATCAACACCCATGGAAGCAGCAGTCAAGAAATCAGGTGAAATCACACTGGGCAAATCTGCTGCTGCTGTTGCTGCTGCTGCTGCAAAAAACCAAACCACACTCACTGCCATGGAGTCGGATCCGACTCATAGTGACCCCTCCTTAGGTTTCTGAGGCAGTATCACTATGGAAGTAAATTGCCCAGTCTTCCTTCTGAGGAGTGGTGGGTTTGAACCATCAGGCTTTGGTTAGCAGTCACATGGCTTAGGCACTACACCACCAGAGCCCCTTTAAAGTACTAAAGGACAAAGATGTCTCTTTGAAGACTGAGGTGCACCTAACCCAAGCCATGGTATTTTCAATTGCTTCATATGCATGCAAAAGCTGAACAATGAATAAGGAAGACCTAAGGAGAGTTGATGCTTTTGAGTTGTGGTGCTGTTGAAGGCCATTGAAAGTACCATGGGCTGCCAGAACTAACAAATCTATCCTGGAAGAAGTGCAGCTGGAATGCTCCTTGGAATGGAGAACGTCCAGACTTCGTCTCATCTACTTTGGTCATGTTGTCAGAAGGGACCATTCCCTGGAGAAGGATATTATGCTTGGTAAAGTGGAGGGTCAATGAAAAATGGGATGTCCCTCAACGAGAGATGAATGGATACAGTGGATGTAATGATGGGTTCAGGTATAGGAAAGATTGTGAGGTTGGCAAAGGACCAGGCAGTGTTTCATTTGGTTGTGCATAGGGCTGCTATGAGTTGGAGCAGAGTCAACACCTAACAACAACAGTAACAACAGGGCTAGTAGAAGTTGGGGGCAGTTTCACAGGGTATGTAAAGCAACAAGGCTCTAAGTGGGTAAAAATCTGCTTATTGGGGCAATTTTTAAAACAACTGGATATGTGTGGGCTTGGTGTGCATGGGCTCTTTTAGGCTAATTGGCCTCAGCTTGCTGTGAAGAAGTAAACAACTTGGGGCCAATATACAGAGGCCATTTGGACTTATTTGTACAGAATCCTATAATAAGAGAAAAATACGGCACAGGCTGTTGCAGCTCGACCAGGTTAACGGAAGGGCAGAGGACCATGCTGTGGCAGATATAAGAATAGATAGCTCCTTAGGGCCCCAGTTTTCTGGGTCTTGGACTCTGTGCCTTGTTCAGTTATGCGAGAGCAACTTTTGTGAAGCTTAGAGTGACTGCCATCCCAAAGTCGCCTTTGGACAATATGGTGAAATATGCTTCATTATGCCTAAGTCACCATGTTTGTACCTTGTTACCCTGCCACCTTGTAACAGAGATGGGTACTTGTTTCAAAGGTAATAAACTATATATATGGCAATGAGAACCTATGTCGTGGCTTGGCCTGAGAACTTAGCCAAACAGGGTGCTCCATTTAGATGGTGACTACCTACTAATTAGATCTTCTGTTTGCTAAAATTTGAAATATATATATATATGTGTGTGTGTGTGTGTGTGTGTGTATACATATATATATATGTTGCTGTTGTTATGTGCCGTCGAGTCAGACCCGACTCATAGCGACCCCTCCTTTGATTTTCCAAGGCGGTATCACTACAGAACTAGATTGCCCAACCTTCCTTCCGAGGACTGGCTGGTGGGTTTGGACCACCAGCTTTCTACTATAAAGTATTATCAGATGTCATGAGGTAGTAGAAGACATGAGATAGCAGAAGCCATGGAGCAGAGAGAAAGACAGTAGAAATTAGTTAGCTCTTAACAGCAGAAGTAGGAGCAGAGACAAAAGTGGTTGAATCACTAAAATAGTGGAGCACAACAATAACCTGTGCCTACTGCTAGGTGGTTTCAAACCCATCAGTAGAGCAGCATTATGGCCTAAAGGCCCTTCCAATTCCTTGGCAACATTTATGATCTCTGTGAGGCAATGGGGGTATTGGGATTGTGAAAGGAGATATTTTATCTCACACCCAGCATTCTCACATAGGATTCTAAAATATGAGAAACTATCAAAATTATACGAAACCAGCTATATAAATTGTAAGCATAAGTCATTGTGGTTTTGAGTCAGAATCGACTCACCAGCAGTGAGTTTGTTTTTCCTTTAGGCAGCATAA